GAAGAAATTAACAAAAGCAAAAAGGGGGGGGGAAGCATCCTATCTTTCTGCTGGGGAGGGAGGCTCTGAGGATGGGAGAGCTAGACTGGGGCAAGAGCTGGAGCTGGAATTAGGGAGAGGAGCTGTAAGGTTGGGACAGCTGTGCTGGGGATGGAGCTGGAGTAGGTCCAGGGCCAGTGAAAAACCCTGTCACAGTTTCCCTGACTGACCAACAGGCTGTAGATGGTACTGGGATCTGCTGAAAAGATGTGGGCTGCCCTTTTTGGCAGGGGGGTGCTCTCAGGTTGGGAGAGTTGGGCTGGGGCCAGAGCTGGAGCTGTGACTGGGGCCTGTGAAAGGCCCTGCCTCAGTTTCTCTGACTGTCCAGAGAGCTGCAGATGGAACTGGTGAGGTAACCCCAATTCTACTCAAACCGTTTCTAGAGCTCCAAAAGGAAGGAACCCTTCCAAAATCATTCTATGAAGCCTCAATCACCCTCATTCCCAAAACGTATAAGGATGCAACAAAAATAAAGGGGAAAAACTACATACTTATAACTCTGATGAATGTAGATGCAAAAATTCTCAACAAAATACTTGTTAACCTTATTCAACAGCATATAAAAAATGTTATTTATCACAACCAGGTAGGCTTTATTCCAGGTATGCAAGGGTGGTTCAACATACGTAAAACCATAAATGCAATACACCATATTAGCATAAAGATAAAAACCATATGATCATTTCAATTGATGTGGAAAAAGCATTTGGGAAAATTCCTTTGTGATTAAGATTCTCAGTAAAATCAGTATAGAAGGATAGTTTCACAGCATAATAAAAGCCATCTATGAAAAACCTATAGCTAACATTATACTGAATGGTATATGACAAGGCTGCCCACTTTCTCCACTCCTATTGAATATGGTATTGGAAGTCCTAACCAATGCAATCAGACAAGAGAAGGAAATAGAAAGCATTCCAACAGGAAAAGAAAAGTTAAATTATCTGTTTGTAGATGACATGATTGTATACATAGAAGACCCAATAGCATCCATGAAAAACCTACTCAAAGTAATAAATGTATACAGTAAACTGACAGAATACAAAATTAAGCTACAAAAATCTATAGCATTTTCATACATAAACAAGCAGAGAGATAGTACTGAAGAAAGTAATCCCATTTAGTACAGCACAAGTAGTATAAGATACCTAGGAATAAAATAACCAAGGAAGTCAAAGATCTCTATAAGGAAAATATAAAACCTTAAAAAGGAAATTGAAAATGACACAAAAAAGTGGAAGGCTATCACATGTTCCTGGATTGGCAGAATCAATATAATCAAAATAGCAATTCTACCCAAATCAATCTACATATTTAATGCAATCGTTATAAAATTATAAAAGACATTCTTCACAAACCCAGAAAAGACAATCATAGAATTTGTCTGGAATCATAAAAGACCCTGTATTGACAAAGTCATCCTGCGCAAGAAGACTGGAGTGGGTGGCATTTCACTTGCTGACCAAAAATAATAGAAAAGTGTGATAATCAAACGAGCATAGTATTGCCACAAAAACAGACACAAGGACCAATGGAAAAGAGACTCCAGAAATAAACTCCAAAACATGCAGAAAACTCATCTTTGACAAAGAATATTAGTCAATCTAGTGGGAAAAAGAAAACTTCTTTAGCAAATGTTGCTGGAAAAACTGGGTATCCACCTGCAGAAAGATGAATCTGAACACCTATCTGTCACCATTAACAAAAATCAACTCAAAGTGGATCAAAGATTTAAGCCTTAAAATGGCAAATTATAAAACTACTGGTGAAAAACACTGGGGAAACTCTGGGAGATAATGGGGTAGGCAAAGACTTCTTAAACATGACCCCCAAAGCACAGGCAATAATCCCCAAAGTAGACAGGTGAGATTACATCAGATTAAAAAGTTTCTGCACAGAGTCTGCCATCCAGCGGCTGCAGCGCCCTCCCCAACCTGGACCCTCACTGCTCCTAGACTCCACCCAAAGTGTAGCTCCTCAGTCTCATACTGATGTCAGATGCCACAGCCTGTGCTGAAGTAAAAAACAAAAACAAAAACAAAAACAAAACAAAACAAAAAAACGCCTCACTGGAGATATTCAAGCAAAGGTTGGACAGCCACTCTCCCAGAACATAAAGGAAACTCATGGTTCAGGAAAGGTGAGTAACAAACATACCACAAGAATATGGCTGCACAGATACCAGAATCTGATCAGATAAAACCATTTAGAGAATATCTTCGAACCTTCAATAAACTTACAGAAACATGCTTTTTGGACTGTGTTAAGGACTTTACAACAAAAGAAGTAAAACCTGAAGAGATAACCTGTTCAGAATATTGCTTACATAAGTATCTAAAAATGACACAAAGAATAGCCATGAGATTTCAGGAATATCATATTCAGCAGAATGAAGCCCTGGCAACCAAAGCAGGACTCCTTGGCCAACCACGATAGAGGGGCCTGGTTGGATGGACTATCAGTGAAAAGTTTGCCAATAGCTATTGCACAAGAAGTGAGGATTCATCTGATAGAATTCCTTGAAAGCAGTAGTCACCATGTTAAACTGTCGATTGCAACTGTTTGGAAATGGAAACCACTGGAGAAACAAAGTCATTATATAACAAGGATAATCAAATTAGAAGATCTTATTGTTAAGTGAAAATAATACAATGAAACTTTTGTTGAAGCCTTAAGATTCGGCAGCTTGGTCACTTGATTAGAAAAATAAACCATTGTTTCTTCAATTGTAACTGTTAATTTTAAAGCAAAGTATGTGTTCAATCATGTATGAGATAGAAAAAACTTTTATTACTGAAAGTGAAATAAATGAACAATTGTTTATACTATATAGCACCATAATATTCTGACTGGACTGTGAATAGGTTGAAATGTTTTCAGTCAGCATCATTCTCCAAATATTCCTGTTCATTCATGTCTGCCTCAAATTGCTGGTAAATACATAAAATAGTTACTTGAGAATCTTTTCAATGCATTATCTTTTTCTCGCCTCCCTTGTCATGGTGAGCATTACACACACTTATCCTTGTTACATTTTCATCTATCTTCTGGAAACATCCCATCCAAGACTAGCTTGGGTCTGTTTAAGAGCTGACTGTTATACACTCTAGTGGAATTTGTGTTGCTTTTGTTCATAAGCTGAGAGTCCAAAATGAATGATTTTTGAGTCTGACGAACAATATACATTTTGTCAGTCATGGAAGGGGACCAGTCTAATAAAAAGTGAACCAAAGTTAAAAAAAAAAAAAGTTTCACAATTAGTGTGAATTGACAACCCTCGGAATGAGAGAGAATTTTTGTTAACTGTGTCTCAGATAAAGGACTGATAACCAGAATACACAGGGATCTCAAGTGGCTTACCTGTAAGAAAATTATTAACCTAATTAAAAGATGGGAAAATTAGCTGAGTAAACGACTCTCTAAGAACCACCAAAAAGATTATGAAAAAAATGCTCGCCCTCCCTCATTATAAGGGAAATGCATATGAAAACCACAATAAATTCCACCAAACCCTAATCAGAATGGCAGATTTAAAAAAAAAAAAAAAAGATAAGTGCTGAAAAGGGAACTCTTCTACATTTTTTGTGGGGATGTAAATTGGTCCAGCCACTGTAGAGAACAATATGGAGATTTCTCAAAGGATCTCAAATATAACTACCATACTATAGAGGGCAATGCATTAAGTGAGCAACACAGGAGCCATCTTAAGAGCTATCTGCCATTTTGGGTACTCTGCCATTTTGTGTATAAGGAGACCTTAAGTTTCTATTTCCCCACCGAGCAAACCAATTCCCAGAAACCACATGACCAACTGTCTCTTCCATTGCCTAGAAACCTATCTGCATAAGCAGACACGCCTATTCCTGAGTGCATATAAGCTTGTCATACTTCCTCAATAAATGAGACTTGATCAGCACTTTGTCTTGTCTCCACTCTGTGTGTCTGTCCCTTATCTCACTCCCTCCCTCAGGTGACTGTTCAACTGTCATGCAGGTCAGGACACCATATGATCCAGAAATTCCATTTCTGGATATCTACCCAAAGGATAGGAGAACACTCAGTCAGAAAAGCACTTGCACAACTATATTTATTGCAGCATTATTCAAGATTGTTAAGGCATGGAACCAACCCAAATGTCCATAAAGAGATGAATGGATTGAAAACTTATGGTATATATGCTCCATGAAATACTCTTCAGCCATAAAAAAACAACAGGGTCCTAGCATTTGATAGACAGAGGAACAATATGGAAGATTTGTTGCAGAGTGAAGCAAATCAGGCTATGAAAGAAAGACACTGTATTTCTCCACTTAACTGACTATACACTATGTTAGAAACTGAAATACTGGAGGTCATAAAAGCTTTGAAATTTGGTATAGACACTAGAGACAAAGTAGAAGGAGAGTGTGAGGGGGAAGAGTATAGGAAAAGAAATTTTGGTTAAAAATAAGAGAGGTAAGACATTTGTGGGACACAGACATGGTTTATTACCTGTTGATGATAATGTATATAGTATTCTCAGCTGGGCTGGACTGAGGTGTATATCATGCTGAGTAAACTCTCTTTACAATCTAAATTATTTATAGCAATTAAATGTATAATTATAACAATAAAATAAATTTTAAAAATGTTTAAAATAACAAATGAAAAACCATAGTAGTTGACATGTCCTTTTACAAATGCTATGAAAGAATTAAAGAAAATAAGTTTCATTTTTCTGTTGTACTGTGTCTGACAATTTTTATTTTTAAGATTTCTACCATAGAGCATGTGTGCTTTCCAGAGAGAGAGACAGACAGACAGACAGACAGAAACAAAGGGAGGGCCTGTGAGAATGGCCATCCCTTCTCTTGTATTCTAGTCCTGGGGTTTAGGGCACACATGCCCAGTGTGATTTTCAAGAATCCAGGTTCAGGAGTCAAATTCTGATCAACCATGTTGGAGTTCAGTGCCATCAACACCACGCCATCTCCTGGCCCCTGTTGACACTGTTTTATGCCCAACATCCCAGGAGCAGAATGGTGGAGAAGAGATTGCAGCACGGCCATCCCCTCTGGACTTCCCTGTCTCTGTCTCTCCCTCTCCCTGGCAAGTGCATACACCCTAAAGTAAAAACCTCTCCTCGCGTGAACAGCCCTTCTTCAAGAGGCAGCCAGCTCCATGGCTCCTGTGATCTAGCCATTTGGGGAGAAAGGAAGATGTCCCACTGATAACTGGGCCTCCAGCATCCAGAACTCGCGTGAACAGCCCTTCTTCAAGAGGCAGACAGCTCCATGGCTCCTGTAATCTAGCCATTTGGGGAGAAAGGAAGATGTCCCACTGATAACTGGGCCTCCAGCATTCAAAACTCGTGTGAACAGCCCTTCTTCAAGAGACAGACAGCTCCATGGCTCCTGCAATCTAGCCATTTGGGGAGAAAGGAAGATGTCCCACTGATAACTGGGCCTCCAGCATCCAAAACTCGCGTGTTTGGGAAGAAACCGACCATCCACCAGATGACTAGAAATCGCTGCAGGACCACAAGAAATATGGGGAAGCAGGAAAATACCTCTCCCACAAGGGAAAAGGATAGCTCCTCTTTATCCACACACAGTTCAATGGAAATCATGGAAATGTCTGATAAAGAATTCAGAACATTCATAATGGCAAAGCTAACAGAGATGGAAGAGAAGAGAGACAAGGAACTGCTGAAGAGGAAGGAGAAAGGAGTTGAAGAGTTCCAGGAGGTGAGGAAATTCATGCTAGATCTAAAAGAGGAATTTCACACTTTACAAAAGAATCAGATGGAACTGTTAGAGATGAAGGCTATAATACAAGAAGTCAAAATCTCCCTTGAAAGTATTAAAAGCAGACTAGATCATACAGAAAATAGAATCTCTAATGTAGAAGAGAAAATGGTTGGCCTAGAAAAATCCACCGCGAAGACTGAGAAAATGGCCCAAAAATTTGAGAATAATATGCGAGAAGTACTAGATACCATCAAACGTCCAAACATCCGGATAATAGGCATCCCAGAAGGTGAAGAGACTCATAAGGGCATTGATAATCTATTCCATGAAATCTTACAAGAAAATTTTCCAAACCTGGAGAGGCACTCAAAGATTCAGACCCAAGAAATACAGAGGACCCCAAATAGAATCAACCCAAGAAGATCTTCTCCAAGACACATTATAGCCAGATTGACCAAAACCACAGACAAAGACAAGATACTAAGACTGGCAAGAGAAAAAAGGCAAGTTACCTACAAAGGGTATCCCATCAGACTAACGGCAGACCTCTCATCGGAAACAATGAGAGCGAGGAGAGAATGGGAAAATGTATTCAAAGTATTAAGGGAAAAGCAATTTCAACCGAGAATTCTGTACCCAGCAAGGTTATCGTTCATTTGGGAAGAAAAGACACGAACTTTCCCAGATAAACAAAACCTGAAAGAATTTACCAGCACCAGACCGGATCTCCAAGAAGTTCTTAAGGGAGTGCTATGTCAGTAAAATTAAATGCAGACACACAGAAATAAGAGTTCAGAAACTAAGAAAATGGGCAACTTAATTGTAGGGCCAAAAGCTGGAGTTGAGTATTACATCCCAGATTTCAATCTGGAACATCGAACCTCAACAGATACAGAAGAAAGATTAAGTACATGAGACTGAACTGATGAAACAGTATTCTACGACTTGACTAAAATATTGCTGCTTTTCTTCTAAGCTTTGTTGTCCGGTTTTAAGGATTTTTGTCCTGTCTTCAGCTATCAATAGATTCATGTTCCGACTATTTGAACAGAATACTAACCTGTTTCTAGGCTTTAAGTTTCAAAGAAATATCCTTACCAGTTCAAAACTGCTTTTCTTGAAACCATCGGCTGATCTTGCTATTGAAAGTAGTTAGATTACTTATGATATTGTGTGATCAACGAAATGTTGGGGGAAAAGGAATTGAAGACAACTGTAGACAGCAGAGATAGTGTAATAAGAGAGTGGAATAGGGCAGAGGGCTAGACATGGGGTAAAAAACATATATATGAAAGTAGAAATGGAATATTATGGATGATAACATGCATTATTAAGCCACTATATAGTATATTCTAGATGGGAAACCACATTTAGAATGTTGTGATGATGCTCAGGGAATGAATGTAAATTAATAAAAAAAATTTTCAGAAGAAAAAAAATAGGCATTAGAAATACCTATTTGATGACTGCAGTTAAGCTATATGGCCCTAGTTAGGTGCTACTTTATAGTATGTTCATTCTATTCACTGAGATTTATGCCTAAAGTCAGACTTGTGTTCATGGATATGTATATATCAGCTGTGCTTGCTATTGAAAACATTTAGATTTATTGAGATATTTAGTGAATATAAAATGGGGGAGGCATAGAAAGCAAAAATAGCTACCAGACACAGTGTGGGAGGAGGGTGGGAGATGGCAGAGGGTGAG